ATTTTGAAATATCACAATTAAATTTTTTAATCGATTTGATTGGTTAATAATATGTTTTGATCATCGTATGTGACAAACTCGAATTTTGTGACAATATTGAATGGAGTCAAATCCGCCCATATGTTTAGACGACCCCTAAAGAAAGCAAATTTGAGGAAGATCAATTACCTAAATTATAAGTAATAATGTTCTTTGACGTCAATATTGGTTAAATTAATATAATAAACTACATTTTGTTAAATGTTATAATTTAATAAAGATTTAGCAAACTATAAAAATTGTTTGTAAAAAAAAAAATCAGGTGCCTTTGACTCTAAATCAGTCACAAAAAAAGATTGTTTTTAAATTAACATTTTTCGAAAAAAAAAACACATTAACATCGAAATTTCACCTAAAAAAAAAAAATTTCTTGCAAAATTTTGGTATAATTTAGTCTATTAAGCCTAACCCTAACTAAAACATCACATTTTAAAAGGACAGTGACATATAAATAATTCCAAATAATTCCAACCGATAGGAAGTGTGGGGAATTAGTAAATGTATATTTTACGTAATTATGGGATTGTCAATTTTGGGCAGATTATTCAACGTTAAGCATTTAAATCAATTCTCTACAGTCCTCGTTATCATATATACTCTTTTCGTTTTATGGAATAATGACAAATCTCTGTTATTTGCAAAACAGAATTAACGATTATCAAACCATCGGATGAGTTATTACTATAAAAATCTCCAAAAAAAGAAAGAAAAAACTTTAATAATAATATATCAGATGCATCTTTTTTTTTTTTTTTTTCTTTTTTTTAATCTCTAAATAAAAACCAATTTATAAACATTTACCAAATTTTCAAAAAGAAAAGAAAAACAATAAATGTATAAAATGTATATCACCGAAAATGTATGGGACATTCACCACCTCTATCAAACCATCCCTGTATACAATGATAATGATATGAACATAAACAGTTCAAACGCGTTACGGTTTCGCCTATTTTTTTTATTAACGAGAAATATGCAATTTTGTGAGTATAAAAGACGAACCGAAATGAATCGAATAGTATTTAAATATAAGATAAATTTAAATTTCTTACCGGCAAGAAATTCTTCGAAGCAGATAGGGCATTCTTGGCCGACGAGGAAGTTATTTTGAAGGAGTTTATATACTGTAGTAACAAAAGAGAATTCCGATTTTGTCGTATATAGTGGTGATAGGGGAAAGTTTGGTGGGAATGATACCAACACATAGGAAATAAGACAGAAACCGCGAATAAGTTATAATAATGTTTCGCCAACAATTTATGATAGGGCCTTTATTAGTTCTTTCTTTCTACCCTGCTTTTCCGTTTTGCTCAAACTGACAAAATCTGCTCACCCACATATTTATAACCGCTAACGCTATTTCCATTCTTGTCTAAACATTGCTGGACGTGTTCTTCTTGGGCAACCTTTCCTCCAACTTTGCTTAACGTTATGTTACAAGCAGGGCATTCAGTCATGGTTGAACTACTACTCATACGTCTGCTGTTACTAACAGATGATGCACCTCCAACCAATGAAGTAGAAGTGAAGCTATTTGACCGTGGGCGTGGAGTAGGACCTATTGAAGAACGACACGTATCACACACGCGATGATACTGAGGAGTTTGACTGATTTCACCATTTCCAGAAGGATTAATGAGAACCTGTTGAGGTAGCAAAAGAACTCGTGCACTGGAGCATTTAGCGCATACTACTTGACCGCATCGTCTAATTTTTGTGCGCATTTATTAAATAAATTTAAACACTTAAAAAGTTAACCATATCTTTATATAATAAATTATAATGCTTAGTACAGACCTGCAGTGATGTTTTCTAACAAACATACTAAACCTCCCTTTACATCGACGACATTCATTTACATCTTCATCATTTTCCCACTTGTAACCTGAAGATATTGAATGTCCGGAGGCATTTGTCATATTGATACCTGTTTGAGGATGTGCTCTGGTTGGAGATACTATTTGATTCTCATAAATTGATGGTTGAGCATTACCAACATCTTCACTTGGAAAAGCGTTTTTCCATGGATCTTCAATCACGTCAATGCTTGCTGTTGATGGTGCTCTAAGATTAGTAATTATTTCCGTATCAGTTGTTTTCGGGATGTTGGACGATAAATCTAATCTAAATGGAAGAATGGGAGAAGGAGACTTTGACAAATTTGGAGTCATCGGTACATCATGGAGACTTGGACTTCGTGGAGTGACATCATTTCCCTTTACCATATTTTCTAAATATTCAGCATGCCGCATAAAAGTGCTAACTAACGATATGGCTTCTTGTTTTCGTTGTGCATTTTCATCGACTACCAATTTTAAATGATGAAATTATTATTATGTTGATAAATATATATTAAAGAAAATAAATAAATTATGAATACTTTTAATTCCTGATGATAAAATCTCGATTGCTTCTTTATACTTCGCTAATTGTTCAGAGAATGAAAGGTCAACAGCCTTTCCTTTACTATTATTATCAGAATTTTTTTTAACAATAGATTCAGCCCTCTCAATATAATCCGATGTATCATTTTCATTATTTGAAATAAGTTGTAATCCATTCTCAGTAAGATCCATACGACGTTTCATAACACGCACCCATCTTCTTCTTCGGACCCAACTACCACTGTTTGATTGTGGTGTTGCAGTCCACATTCCATCAGGGTCATCGAAACTTTTAGAGTATTGCCATCCTTGCGAGTCCACACGTGGATGAGTAAAATCAATTTGCCAATCGGTGACCCAAAACCAGGGTCTCTGAGAAGACTTTGATGAAGTTGCATTTGAAAGAACTGAAACTGATGATGATGATATCCCTGCAGGAAGACGAACGCTTTCCTTAGATTGAGGTTTCCCACTAGGATGCTCAGACCAAGGACCACGAATGTCACTTTTTAAAAGGCTATTTGCTGAATACTTTGATGGGCCACGAATAGATAGACCAAAAGATGTTGATGATCGTTGATTTTCATGAAGAACAACAGGTATTGTAATATGAAATGAATAAAGATCATATGGTTGA